ATTATTATTATTATTATTATTATTATTATTATTATTATTATTATTATTATTATTACTATTATTATTATTGTCTTTATTAATATTGTTGTTTTTATACCATCTCTCGGTAACGAATGTGGCTTATTTTTTTTTTTTTTAATTTTTACTTCTAATATCAGTGTATTATTTTATAATTTGTAAAAATTATCACATATTTTCCTTTTGTATTGCCTTCGACGCGTGAACTGTACTGAATAGACTAAATGTCCGGTCAATAGGACTCAAACAAAATTAATATGTTACTGTCTATAGTTCTTAACGTTTTCGAATATTAATAATATGTATTATATCTCTTGCGATATTTTTCCTGAATTATTATCGTAACGATTGTGTGTAAAACGTTTATACATGTATATGTTTTATGGTATGTACCCGTATAGTGTACACGCACACACATAAACGTATTTAAGTACTATAATGTTGTAGAATAATGTGTACATAATTATTTCTAATGGATATTTTTTGTGTATAAAATTCGAATGTGTATGATATTTATGGAAATTTATTTTCAGTGTGTTACATATTATTTTTTTTAAAAAAAAAAAACCGACGTATAATATATGTGAAATGAGAGTTAAGATTTTATTTCAATTGGTAGTTTTTTTTTTTTTTACTTTTGATCAGTGGTAATAATAATAATATTATTTAACTGTTATCATTGTTACCTGTGTCTTCTTGTTACCTGTAGTTTGCACTGGCCGTCACGATATATTAGCGACATCTGTTGTTCGAGTGCTAAATGTCTCCGACGACGGAATAAGCACTGCCATCTAGTATACATTTTGTCGACGTTATCGTTATTTAGAGACCGCAAAACGTCGAGACATGGCATAAGCCACCAAGAACTTAACATATTTCCTCAATTATTATTATTATTATTATAAAGCTGTGATTTTTCATGGCTATTTGCATTTTATTTTTTATTTTTAGAACTTTTGTTGAATACAGTTAAGCCCAACAATTACAGAAATATTTATAGTACAGGTTTTAAAATACAAAAAAGTAATACAATTATAATAAAATATAGATAGCGATAAAGTGCAGAGTGGAGATGATTGTATTATTTATAACTAGAGCGCGGATTTCTATACAATTGCATATTTTTTTTCCTTTCAATATTTTTAGATTTTTGTCAGTTATCTCTACGAATCATCATAATTTGAAGCTAATGGTGAAATTTTTTTTTGTATATCTCTACATATATAGAGATTATTGCATATTTTTGCATATTTTGGCAAAATTCAAAATTTATTGCATATTGAAGTGAAAATTTAAAAAAAAAATGTACAAAATAATATATCGTCAAGTAGAAAAATTAAAACTAAATTTCATAGTCACTAAATAATAATTTATATATATATATTTATAAAATAAATAATCGATTACGACGTAAACTTAATCACTCTTGCTGTTGTCGACATACCACTTGCTTCAAATATGCCCCTATAATTTCGGTTGACATCGAACGTTCGTTTTCAGTCTTTAAAAATATGTTAACCGATAAACGACACAACTTCATAGAAGATAAACTTGAGATGCATATGATTTTTCATTTTAATAATAAATAAAATTTTAAAAATAAATTAAGTTCAAAAAATTCCCTAAATTTTTTTTTATTAAGTATTTATGTAATTAATTATTATAAGTTGAATTATAAATTTTAAATAAATAAAAAATTCTTGCATATTTTTTGCATATTTTTATAATTTTGACTGCATATTTTTTGCATATTTTCATGATTTTTACTGTATATTATATGGCATATTTCGATACTTTTAAGTGCATAAAAATCCGCGCTCTATTTATAACTATTATTTAAACTTACAATAAGTCAAAATATTACTTGTTATTATCAGGTATTATATAAATATAAACATCAGAGGTGGCTCATGGCTTGTACTCTACTATTTTTTATGAAAAGAAGGAAATCAATCCTGATGATAGTAGTATACCTATTAATAATTTATCAAATTATTAAATAATTACAATACTAAAATGGTGATTTTCAAATAATCAAAATAATCATTTAATAAATATTGTTGTGTGCGATCGCAGTGATTACCGTGTACGTATGCCATATAACGAATGCATATCACTGCTAAGTGCCGGGCCATAGCCGCCGATTTCGGACTCTTCACTTAGACTATTCGATATAATATTGTACATATCAGGCGCAGCTCCAAAGGGGGGGGGGTACTGGGATCATGGCCTCCCTAAGATTTTCAAAAAATTAAATTTTTTAATACATTTTTATCTTTGTGAACTGTAAAATCCCGATTAATTAGATACCTACCTAGCAATTTCATTTTTCCTAAAAAACCGTATTATGACATTAATATGAGGTGTGTATCACAATATAAGAACGTAGTCGAGCTCTGTATTCCAATACTAATTCAGGAAAACAACTATTATCAGCTAATACTTAAAATGCCCCTCCCTCCCTTGGTAAGTTTCTGAAGCCGTGCCAGGTACATATCATGAAAGGCCACGCGAACGTCTGCGTGCGGATAAGATTAAGACCCAATATCCGCAAACGTTGACACACCACGTCATCCAAATATATAAATATTAATGATATTTTTTTCGAAGCCAATCCGAACAGTTTACCCGTGGATCATGGTTTTCGATTATGAAACGAGGAATTATCTTATTGTCGATTATGCGAGTGTTTTATTTAATCGCGTGCGTTTTGAACCGTGATTGTATGCTAGCGTTTGGACAATAATAAACAAATAAACGGTACAGGAACAGACACACTTTTTCACATTTGTTGCACTCCCTTCATCGGCACCTATGAGTCACCACTGATAAACGTTATAGGTTAACGGAAGATAATGAAGTTGTTATGGAATGGGAATTATAAGGAATTCATTTGATTTATTAAAGTTGTTAAAGTAAGCAGAAGAGGGTTTAGTATCGATTCAATAATATCAAGTTTATTGACGCTCTTGTCAGGACCAAAGAGTGTACAAGTTTTACATTTTTTACTCAAAACATTTAATTTTATAAAACTAACAATTAAGTACAGGTAATTTAAGTATAACATTCAGTGGCATCAAAACCTATATTCCGGTAGGGCAGATATCGTACCTCATAATATTCGGTGGTTCAGTCTTCAATGGATAAATTATTTATTGATTCATGTAAATTATATAAGCAATTAGAGTTAATAATTAACTCGTCAGTATATACTACCCGGTAGGTAGATCAGTTGATATATCTTATTTGTTTGATAATATTATTCGTATAAGATAAATATTATTATGTTCTTAATCTAATCGTGAGGTGGTGATGTCTCATAATTTTTTAAATACGCTTTATCTGAATTTTTTAAATTTTAGCACCATTGATGATATGCAATAGTAGTAAGCAGGGCTCATAACTTCTAGCATTTGCATATTTTTGCATATTTAGGAGTATAAGTGCTATTTTGCTTTTTTTCGCTTATTTTTGGATTTTTGCATGATTATTATCATTGATTTTTTTAAAAAAAATTTTATTAGCCTAAAACATTTTTTCTTACAAATAACAAGTAATTATAGTCATATTAATTGTTTATATTAGTAATTAATTTGTGTTAATTAATTTTTCTTCTTGTATAACTTATATAAAAATATCAGAAGAAACTATATATACCTTTACGAGTTAAGGCGATGCGCGACGTAGCGAGAGTGTACGCCCGAAACTTCGTAATCTCATCGATAAGGAAACCATTATAATTGTATATAATTATAGCTTGTACTTTTATTCTGTGCTTGTACTGTAGTATTTTATTTTCATAGTTTCTAGGTATTCGGGTATTCCGTTATCATTATCTAGATCAGTGGTTTTCAACCTTTTTCACAATGCGGCACACTCCATCTCCTACAAAATTTTCGCGGCACACCAATCCATATAATTATAAAACGTGAAGCATATTTTATTTATAAAATATATATCCATTTATGATATACATGAATAGGTACACTGTTGACAATTACTACGTTTATATGATAGCGTTAAAACAGTTTAAAATTTAACCGTTTTAAAATTATTTAAAACAGTTAAGCTTAAACCAATTTCAGATGTTTATATACAAATATATACTAAATCGGTTCAGCTAATATTTTATAAACCGTTTTAAAATTAATATTTTTACTTCATGACTTTGGTCGTTTGTTCCAGGAGGATATATGATAAGTAATATATTGATTCATAATATATTTTCATAATAAATTTATAATTTTGCATTTATTGTGTTCTTATTAAATTATTATTAAGTTATACAAATAATAATATATAAAAATTAATATAATTAAATAATAAATATATAAAAACAAAATCTGATAAGTGATAACTGATAACATGAATCACAATAATTGTGATAAACGTATTAATGCAAAACATATCCCGCGTTTATATGTACATTTAATAATCTGGTTTGAGCATATAAAACGGTTTTAAATTCTTAAACTACATAGCGCGAGCGTTTTAACTTTTAAAACGGTTTACATTTTTTAAACCGTTTTTAAGTGTTTACATGACGTTAATGGGTCTTAATTTCAAAACGGTTTAATTTCAAACCGTTTTAACGCTATCATATAAACGTAGTAATTATACTTTATGAGAGGGTTAATTATTGTGAAATAAATAAACAAATGAAAAAATAAACGATGAAAAAATGTGTAAGCAGAAATATTTATTTTTTAAGATAATATTGTTGTACAATGAAATAAGAATACATCGATTAATGAAATATTTGTGCTTGACGTGTGTTGCACAAGTGTTTTATTCGAGGACGAACAGTCGACAAGTTCCCTCTTAGTTCTTCTTCTACGGATCGAAGTCGTTCTCTTTTTTTACTTTTTATTGTTGTGACTGCTGAGAATCCTTGTTCGCATAGATACGATGTGGAAAATGGTAGTAAAATTGTTATTGCTTTTAAAGATATTTCAGGAAATTCTGCTTGAGCATAGATCCAAAATTTGTTAAGGGTCATTTCCTTAAATTTTAACTTCAATGTACGATCATTTTTCAATGAGATAAGATTATCTTCTTCGGCAAATGTCAAACCAATCACCTCATTAACTGATACACTGAATGGATTCCGCACCCAGTCATAGTCTTTAACATTTATGCTGGGGAAAGTATTTTGTCAATTTGTCTTTCAGTAACATGATAGATTCGCTTATTAACGATACTAGGTTGGCGTCAACATCTCGCTCTGCAGTTCGTGGGAACATTGTCAATTTTTTTTGGTTAACTTGAGTTTTCCACAGAGTTAATTTTTCATTAAAAGCAATAATTTTATCAGTTGATGTTAGGATATTTTCGTTACAACCTTGCATGCTTGTATTTAATTTATTCAAAAGTTCAAAAATATCAGTTAAAAAAGAAACTTTTGCCCACCGCTTTTCATCTCCAAGAAATTCGTATTTCGATTCTTCTATTGTTAAAAATACAATTATTTCTTCACTCAAATCATAAAAACGTGATAATACTCGGCTTCTTGATAACCATCTTATTGCACTGTGAAAAAGTAACTTTGAGTTATCTGAATCCATACCTTCATACATTTTTTCGAACAACCTTGACTTTAGTGAACTACTTTTAATATGATTTATCACTTTCACAACTTGATCCAAAACTTCCCTTAAATCACCTACCAATGTTTTTGTCATAAGGGCTTCTCTATGTAGAAAACAATGGGTGAAAATTATATTTTCATTTTTTTTCTTGGTAAAAGAAGTAAAACCTTTGACTGAACCAGTCATCGCGGGAGCTCCGTCGGTACATACTCCAATGCATTTATCCCATGGTAAATTTGCAAATTTCAGATACTTGTCGACGATTTCGAAAATGTCTTCACCTTTAGTTATCTCAGGAAGTGTTTTACAACACAAAAAATTTTCCACGATGTCTTCGTCGGAAACTATACGTATAAATACCAAAAGTTTTGCTTGTCCACTTATATCAGTTGACTCGTCCAGTTGTAATGCAAATAATGGAGAGTCACGGGATTGTTGCAATACTTGTTCTTCAATATCTTCAGACATGTGTTCAATACGCCTACTAATGGTGTTGTCAGATATTGGAATTTTTAATACTTCTTTTTCAACTTCTTCACCAAAGAGTACTTTTACGATTTCACGACAAGCAGGTAAAATAAGTTTTTCTGCTATAGTGTGTGGTTTCATTTGTTTAGCTACAAGTTCTGCTACTAGATAACTAGCTTCTTGAGTTTTATCAGAAATGGTCACAATTTTTGTCATTTTTTCAGATTGTCGTGTTTCTGATTTTAGTAAACGTTGAAAATATGAAGCATTTTTGTCGACCAAATGAGAATGCTTGGTGGAAAAATGACGTTTTAGTTTACTTGGAACCATTGATTCATTGGATAGTTTTTCGCCACATACTACACACCATGGACGTGGATCATCTACATTACCAGACCAAGAAAATCCTATGTTTAAATAATCTTCATGATATAGACGTCTGATATTTAATTTAGATTTTTTCTTTGGGTGTTCATTCACCGAAGTGGTGCCAGTAAAATGAATTACAAATTTATCCATTATAAAATGAAATATTCCGCGACGCGACGTAAACCAATCGAAATGACTGCGACGGGCATACTAATATTAAATATTATTACACGTATCTACGATTAATGATTTAGCCTGTCTTGTTACTTATCAGTTTTCACCGAACATCGATAATAATACTGGTAAATACAAAATTATAAAACTAGTTATTAATAGATTTATCGCGGCACACTTCAAGGGTGCTCGCGGCACACCGGTTGAAAACCACTGATCTAGATATTCCGATATCATATTTCTCAGATTATTTACAGATTATTTTTCATTAACATTTTGCAGTCGTTTCCGATTTTTCGTATTGTATGCATGCTTGTTCGTTTCATGAATTCAGTATCCAAATTTTTTTTTTTTTTTTTTCAATAATAGAAGCTAAAATAATAAAATAGTATAATAATAAATAATAATAATAAAATAATAATTTTTGTATACAAACGTTTTTTTTTTTTGCATATTTTAGTATTTTTAGTGCATATTTAAGCGCATATAATAATAACGCTTTTAATAACCTTTTTTAGAGCTATAAGTTATGAGCCCGGGTAATAAGTTATATTAACATTTTAGTTTATGCGAACAAAATAGCAAGAGATTGATTAAAATAAGAAATGTATTAATTGAAAGTTAAACTTAAATTTCAAAGTTTGGGCTCGTTTTCAAAATTAAAATCGGAATTATCCAGACTATTACAGGCCCGAAGCATTCAAAAAATTAGATTGATTGAAACTAAATTCTCGGTGTGTGGAATGACTTATAAAATGCAGTTTTAGACCTACGTGGCTCCTACCATCCTATTAATTCTATAATTTCGAGGCAAATAACAGTACATTTGATAATTTTAAAAATAAACGATATATCATTAAGTTTGCGCTTAGAAGAAATATAATGTATACCTAACCTTACAACAAGATATTTAATAGAGCAATTAATTTTGAATTCATAAAACAGATACCTTAAAAAGTAATATTGGATGTTATTTAAATGGTTAACATGACCAAGTTCAGAAGGATTCCATATTGGAGAACCATATTCTAAGTTGAAGTACACCAATGAAATATAAAGGGTTCATAGACATTCAATATCTTTGAGATATCAATAAATCTTAAGGTGTGCATTGTTTTACCGTAGATTAATTAAATATCTCCCGAAAAGGAAAGATCAGCTGACAAAATAATATCCAGATCTTTGATTGAAGAGTTTAATTTGGTTTACAAATTAGCAGTTGATCGACGTTGGTTGACTGGCTATTTTGTATGTTAGTTTTGGATTTGAGCTGGGGATGGAGGTGTTGTTGATTTATGACGCAGGTAGTACGATAGGTGTTGGAGTGTTCTCAATTGATTTAATTTTTTCGGCTTTATCTTTAGTGCGATTTAGTATATCTTTAAAGGTCTGGCAACCTTTAAAGTTAGCTGTATGATTTCTACCACAATTTGCACATTTTACAGGTCCCGCTCGTGTTAAAGTGCATTCGTTGGTGTAGTGATTTAATCAATGTTTCACGCGACACAGATAGTGATAATATAAGTTATATGTATGTTAGTAGATTTCATAACTACTTATAACATTGGAGAGGACCGTGAGACCTAATTGGATATTCAAATTTTACTATTTAATTAAAGATTATAGTGATTTTGAATATTTTACAGTTATTGATGTTAAATTGTATAAGTTAATATTAAAAAAAAAATTTGCCAATTTATTTTGGACACATAATTGCATTTTTTACAATTTTGAGAGTCATACGTGTTTGTATATTATATTAATTTTTATTATTTTAATAGTATTTACAAAATATATTTGTGCATTAACAATTGAAGATATTCAGTTTCATATAATACAATAAAGTTTTATTCACATAAAAAAACCTCACAATATTATAAGTATTTACAATAATGAAACTACTCGTTATAGGTTATATAATTTCATTGTTTTATCAATTTTAATAAGTCCTTGAACATTTACCGAGTACAACGTACAAATTAAGGTTTACACTACAAATTTATTTGCATTGCTATCGTTTTAGAGATAATTCCGGTATATTTTTGATGTCGACTAGTATCACTTCTTTTTCGTTTCAGATTTAATTAGTTTACTTTAACGAGAGGAAACATCGGTATAGCTGCAAGGGTTTACTATAGTATTATATTTTTTGAAAAATAATTTTATATCATTTTTCGCTTTTTCCCTCACTTAAAAAAAAAAAATACTTTGTAAACTCAGGAGATGTGTTATGTAATCAAACGGAAAAAGTGCCTTTATGCCTCTAGATGTGAGTTTTAAGAGAAAAAAAATTTTGTTCGCAAATAAAAAATACGAAAAAATAAAATATTTACTAATCGTTCAACAGATGAATATTATTGTGCGAGAGGCTTTTGCAAAAGGTGCGCTTCTAGGAAGGCGAACGTTACAACACGGAACATGACGGTCACTTGCACGAAATTCAAATAATTGAATTTGTATCCAACAATTATAATATCGACGACTCTACGACAAAATTGGCTAAGTGACATTTTAGTTATTATCGATTAGAGGAGAATTAGGTGTATCAAAATGTATGTCTGGTACTTCAGTGTGACCGTTTTATAACAAATAATCGAATTTTTAAATGTAGGATGTATATCGTATGACACTTGATAATATGTAAGTTTTAAAGTTGAGGTATAAATGACATTTTTAGGATTCAAATACCAATAGCATAAAATATAAGGCGATCAAATGACGATTTGTTGATTTATGAAATTATAATAATTATTTTTACTGCATAAAACAAGCAACAAACATCCCAAAAGAACTGATTATAATGGTTTGTGATCAACAAAATCTCCGATCATTTTTTGTTGTAATTAACTAGTCTAGTGCCTACTAATTATACATACCAAAATCAAACAAAAATCTGTTACAACCAAAAATTATATCCTTCCAAAGTGCTAAGGACAGTGTAGATTTTAAATCAAAATAGAATTATAATTTAAATGAACATATTTTATTATACTTTATAGTGTATACCTTTTATAAAGTAAGATAAAAAAATATAGCTTGTTAATTTTTTTATTACTTTTTTTTAAAAAATTTTTTTATATTGTTCTCATCATAATACTTTATAATTTCCTATAAATTAATGATTTAATAATTTACCAAACTTAAAATATAGTATACTACTATCTATTGATTTTTATTCATTTGTATTAATTTAAATTATTAAGAATAATAGTTTTTTACACAGTAATTGTATTTATTTTTTATATATTACTTATCTACGTATTTTTAATACTCTTTATATACTCTTTTATAAGATTTGTATCTTATAAAATCGCATTTATGTATTAAAATGTGTAATAAAAGAGAATAAAATAAGTAGGAAATAAATGATAAAAAAATTTATTACCAATAAACGATTTAGATACAAGCGACAAAAATTCAAATTATTTTCTAAGCTTTTATAATACATATAAATAATCGAAAAAGACATGGCTGTAATAACCACAAAAATATAATTAAAATGTACTTAAAATAATAATTATTATATGGATCACTATTGTTACACAATGTTGACCATTTACAGTTTTATTCATTATATTATACCACTAGAGCGCGGGCTATGTTTGGTATTTGAAATAATTTTACATCGTAAATTAGTTGTAGAAATAGTGTGATACTTTTGATTGACGGAAGAAATTGTATTAATCTGTATATATAAAACAGTAAGCTGATTGACTGCTATCAACGCACAGCTCAAACCATTGGACGGATCTGGCTGAAATTTGGCATACAGATAGCTATTATAATGTAGACATGCGCTAAGAAAGGATTTTTCGAAATTTTGAATTTAAAGGGTTGAAATCGGTTTAATATTTTTTGACCAGGTCGATAACTGCGCTATTGAAAATGAATTATATTAAATAAAACTATTAAAAAATTATTAAAAAACTATTAAAAACTATTTAAAAACTATTAATTTTATTTTTGGTAGTAAATGACGGGTATTGCATAAATATTAAACAAAAAGATCCCGCAACAGGTGTCAAAACAAATAAGAATGTTAGTTCAAAAAATTATTATGCATATCGGTTGATGATTAGACGCGATCAGGACTTAGTTATTTTACGATGCATAAGCTTTGTCAACAATTCATGGTCGAAATATATATAAAGATAGATAGCGAACGATTTCGATACTTCGATTTCGATTCAATCAAAAAAAGCTGCGTGTAAAAGATTCTCAAAACTATTGTTAGATATTGGAGATGGGAAAGTTACTACAGATGAAATAATAATAATAATAATAATAATAATAATAATACAGATGTATAAAATTACCGAACGATTTCTGCACAATCATTTATTCGCAAGATGCTCTCATTGACCAGATATGTCCCAGTGTACACAGACAATACACAAATCACGAGTGGCTGGTAGAAAGAGCAATTTTAGTAGCAAAAAATGTGGAGGTCAACGAATTGAATCTCAAGATACAAAATTTGTTACAAGAAAACTTGGTGTCATACAAATCTAGATACAGTTTGCGATGCTACTGAAGTTGTAAATTATCCAACAGAGTTTTTAAACTCATTGGATTTACTAGGCATGCCACCGCATAATTTACAATTGATCATTACAATTTACCATCGATAAAATACCTCCTTCAGAGTTATTTAAAGTTGTAATACATGCAGATAAAAAACCATCAGGAGAATATAGAGGCAGGTATAATGCACCAACGGAAAATTAAGTTGCTTTAGTGTTAGTAGATCAGCAGTTTGATCGAAGAAACATCATCCTCGAAAACCGAAGTAACTCACTTCACCGTATCAGTGAGATACATCGAGCATACGACGCACTGCAGTATCCTTTAATGTTTTGTTGGGGGGATGATGGGTATGCAATCAATATATCACAACACGATCCAAAAACCAAGTTACCGCTTAAAAAAACTGACTCTGCATCAAGTTTTTACTCATATAGAATAATGGTCAGAGA